CTTCAGCCTGGAAAAGCACAGGCTCAGGGTTTACCTGGTGGCTGCCTATAAGTATGTAAGTGATATACATCAGGATCTGGGGGAACACCTGTTCACCAGAGCACCCCATGGGATGACAAGGTCAAACAGCCACAAACTTCTCCAAAACTGTTCCAGGCTGGACATAAGGAAGAACTTCTTTACAGTCCAAGCCCCCCAGACCTGGAACAGACTGCCACCAGAGGTAGTACAAGCACCTACTTTGGATTCCTTCAAGAGCCAATTGGATGTTTATCTTACTGGGATCCTGTGACCCCAGCTGACTTCCTGCCCCTGGGGTAGGGGGCTGGACTCGATGATCTTCTGAGGTCCCTCCAAGCCCTAATGTCTATAAAATCTATGAGATCAAATTAGCAGATTTGGCTTTGAGCACAAGTGGCACATACTCCTGTATCTGTTTATGCTGAATTCTGCTCTCACTTTCACTCACTGAAGTCATTAAGGTAGCCCTTATGTAAACCAAAGGTCTGCTTTGGCCTTCGTCTTCCAGTTTGCACCACTTTAATCTCATATACTATCATTCAAATAGTCATTCCTCAAAAGAAACATGAGCTTGGATTAATGTAAAAATAAGATTAAAATATATATAAAGATTTCCAATGCTGAAATGGAGGAATCTTTTTGTTTACTAGTGGAATTTTACCTATTCTTTTTTAGATTATTGCATCAGAATTCTATGTTTAATATAAAAATGCAGTTTGGGCAGGGAGTAGATCTGCTCTTCTTGGCATATAAAATGTTGTGGTTGGTTGGATAGGAACAGACGCAGCAGGAAAACGGGAACTTTGGATTCATTATTACAAAAAGTGATCTGATTGGCAAGGAAATAAAGGTTTTAATAACAAGCTTTCACATATCTTATCAAGTTAATTCTATTATTCTGCTCTTTAGCAACTAGTGTGCACAGATGTATGCACTATGATATTAAAGCTAATTGAGATATTTAAGAGTAATTGCTCTGTATGTTAATCTAGTCAAGAGAAACACAGCATGAAGAAACCATTTGAGTTTAACACTTTGAAATGTTCTTCACTAGACCTATACTGCTATTCCAGTTAGCAGATACCATTCAAGCACCTATTGAAATTCCATGAAGGCTCAACTGGGTAGAATGTTATTAGCAGAGTCAGGAACATATTAAGAAGCTTGCTTGCCCCATCTTCCACAGCAGAAAATGCATTTCACACCATACTGCCTAACTTTGGTTTCCTGCAAGCATCTTTGAGGGAGCTTGAATTTTGCCATCAGATTCTGGCAATATGATAGTCCAGGAATTATCTTTAAAACACATCACACTATAAGGTAGGATCTCTTAGGCTTTGTTTTCACCCCAATAAACATTCTGGGTCTTTTTTCCTTTTCATGCAGTACTATTCTGTTGTAAAATCCTAGTGGAGATGGTGCACTGTAGTGACAAGACATTGAATTAATTACCACAAGCTAGCCCAGGGAGTTCAACACTATACCCTTCCCCTAACTTCTCTTCATTAGTATTTTACAGTGGGATAGCTAAGAGGAGTAAAAATCTTTCTGAAGTGAAGACATCTGTACACTGGTTTGAAAAATCCTTTAAAATTTCTGGCAGCAGCCCTGGAAAATATTAATTCTCTCCCATTGGGTCCCTACTACCTTTATGTCAAAAGCACTTACTCTTAATGAATACACAAATAGAAAAAAAATCACTAGTAGTTACATGGATGTGTAAGTGAGCCAGAACTTTCCACTTTGGCCTGACTTTTAGTTTACAAATGAATCATAAGCCACTCATGTCCCTGTTAGGAGACAAACCTCCCGACGAACTCCCACCAGGAATCCAGAGATTTCACTTCAGCTTGCTGAAATTCACCTACAATACTGTAGATATTCCTGGAAATGAGTTACAGACAGCTCCTACTCTTTCTAGGGCACCACTACAAACATCACTATTTCTGGAAGAACTTCACCACCAACAAGATGTCACTGTTTTTGTAGATATTATTGCAGAGGGTCTACCCATATCTGTTTCATTACAGACAAGGATCCAGGAAGCCCAAGAAGCTGATCCTTTCTGCCAAAAGATGAAGAAATACTGCTTGGAAGGATAGCCTTAAATAAGATTTAAAGACTCTGAGCTGGTGAGGTACCAATTCAATCTCCATGTTGTCAGGGATTTAAGTATGTTCTATAACAGAGTATAGATCGTTTCTGTTCTACATCAGGAGATCCTAGAGAAGATTCATGAAACTCATCAGGATATTACAAGATGTCAAGCCAGGACACATCAGACAGTTTGGTGGTCCTCTGTCAGTGATGATGTACAGAACTGGATGGCTAGTTGTAAGGTTTGTGTTCAACACTGACTTGTCCCTGTAGAGACATGTTTTATGGTTGAAGTACCAGATTAT